GGAGCTGCATCTCCTTACCGTGCCTGCGTCCCTCTCTGCAGGTGGAGCATCGGTCCTTGTGTCTCCATGCTCCAGATCACTACCTCTCCATCATAACTGGCTGTAGCAACAACGCTCAGAACGGAGCACTGACACACAGCCAAGATGTCTGATTTGTGGACACCGCTGGACTTCCAGGATGTGTCTGCTCTCACCTTCAAGTCCTTCAGTGCACGAGTAAAAGAAAGATAAAGCACAGCTTAGTGCACAAGCATTTTGGTTGAAATGATGATAACTATGTGCTTATAAACTGTGTTTATAAATGAGGTGAAATAACCTGTAATTGTCTCTTCTGTAGAAGCTCTACTTACTTCCCCAGGTTGCTCATAAAAAAAGTGTACCATGTTGCAGTAGACTTTTTTTAAACAAATTATGGATGTGTGAAGATTTTGAACTTACCAGGGGCGTATATAACGTATGCATATATATAAGTGCAATTTACTGCTTTGTGATTGCCCCTCTAGGTTTTGGAAATAAAAAATATATATAACGAAACAGACAAGCTAAGTTCTGCTTAAGCGAGGGACTTTACAGTGAGAAACATTATGTAACTGGGCGGAGGAAAGGAAAAAAGCAGCATTAAGAATCTGCTGCAAAAGCATAAATACTCAGTGCTACTACTGTTCGCTTTAACAGATGACTCCAACCACAGAGCAGATGGCAGCTGAAGGTTGAAAGGTAAAATGTAACACAAGAATTTGAAGCTTGAGAATAATGTGCAAATGCAGACTGTTATATATTTATACACTGAGACCTGTGCAGCAGCATGCATAGCTGTAGGTGGATGTGGGTTTGTATTTATGTGCTGAAAAGACTTTAGAGACTTTCTTCACCACTGACAGGAAAACACAAGACTTCTGAATATGATGGGACAAGTTAAGTGTTACTATTGGAGGAAATATTTTCTGAGCCTAATTTGGACCACAGTCTTCTTAAGCCCAAGTTGTTGTTGGCATTCTTAAGAAAAACACTTAAATGTTTTCTGAGTCTGTACTAGATTAGTCACTATGGTGACAGCTGTTTGTGTAGGACTCATCACACTGCTTTTAACATCTGGGTAAGAAATTGTAGCAAAGAAAAAAAATATGTCAAGGCTAAAACTCTGTGAGACTAATTTTTATAGCATCTTAATATATCTGAGCTTCTTGGGTGGACTGCATTACCCAGAATCACCTGTCAATCAAAAGTTTATGTAATGCATTTAATACTTTGTTATGTTGTTCTTTCTTGACCCACAGCTAATGAATTTTTTTTTTTCCACTGCCTTTCCAATCTGAGAACCAGCAGCTACCGTCAGATGACTAAGAGTGTGGAGATGAAGGTCAGTGTTACAAATGCAGGTGAATTTAAAAAGCAAATATAAAAGTTAATCATTATCAAGTTATAGCAAAATAGTTCTGAGAACACATTTTAGCGTGTCTTTTGCTGCCTATGGAGGTTCTCAGTCATCCAGATCACAGTAGTTTTGAGAGCTTGAAAAGCAAAAAGCAAACTATTTTTTTTTCTTTTTTCTTTTGTCCCTAGCTGGCAGTCGGCGGGGAAGGTCGTCCACGAAGCCAATACGTCGCTGTGGGTGCCGCAGGGTTTCCATTTTTGTCAGCGATGCACTTCCAGGACTTCCGATCTCTGGCCTTGACCTTTGCTTGCTTGAGGGTTAGACGTCATTGTTGAAGATCGTCTTCAGTTTGCTTGATCCAAGTCTTCTTTGGAGCGTCATGCTTGATTCCCTAGTGGGTGGCCAAACCATTGCAGTCGTCGCTTCTGGATCAGCTCTTCCATCTAGGGCTGATGGTGACATTGACCACGCATCGTGCTGTTGCTGAGACGGTCACGGGGGGACACCCGGAAAATCTGATGCAAACAGCGCATGTGGAAGACCTCAAGCTTGTTAAGGTCGTGCTTGAGGATGACCCAGGTCTCGGATCCATAGAGAAGAATGGGCAATACTAGTGCGCGGTACAGTGGAATTCTGGTGATGAGGGTGACGTTTGTCTTACGTGCTTCATCTACCACACCTTACCTATGTTTCTATATATTCATACAAGCAGCATAAGATATAGGACATTCTGCCTTCTTCTTTCAAACTCTCAATGCTTGTCGTTCTTTACGGGACTGTTTATCTGCACTTAACCAATGCCTGATCAAACCTGATTGGTCAATACTGCAAGCCACAACAGAAAAGTTCCAGTAGCTCACATTCTGCTGTTTGCCTACAAATTCAGCGTGTTCCTGTGACGATTAGACATTACTGCTTTTGGAAAACTTACAGTTATCCCCGTCAAAACCACAGGCCAGCTGGTTTCTTGCTGTGTTGAATATACACGTTACATATAAGGTAGGTTGAATATAATAATTTTAGGTGCATTTGTGAATGCTTGTCTCTCTTTGCCGTTTGCCTTGTGATTGATTGGTGACCTGTCCAAGGTGTACCTGGCCTCTCTCACCCTATGACACCTGAGATAGGCTCTTTGAACCTGAAACAGTAAAGAAAATGGATGGGGGGGGATGGGTGTTGACTGTATAAATGGCATCCATGGAGCTTTTTATTTTTAGATAAAAGACAGAGCCGAAAAGGATAGTAAAACCAAGAGTACCAAGTCAATCTTAATTTTAGGATATTTTAGGACAGAAAGATAAACTATAATCCTTCCTGAAAATACTTTCTTCTCTGCAAAACTAGAGTGGGAAGAAAAACATTGTTTTCCAGCCTGGTGTTCAGTAACCCTTAAAACTGTATTTATGTGACACTGTGGATTATAACTTTAATGCACCCTTGATTTTACCTTGTCTCCTGCAATGCTGTACTGAGTGATGCACTGGTTCCACCCCACAGCCAGTAAATGGTTGTCATGGAGGCAGGTCAACCCAGTGACTTCAGAGTTGGTGACGGGCTCCAGCTTGTGTAAGTTTAGGCCATTTAGTAGATTCCACACCTGCTTGGGGAGTGGCCAACACTCTGATTTAAGTATTTTACACATTGATGCATTACACTCAAAATTCTCTCTCTATATAATAATAAGTAATAAGATGTATTGAACCTTAATAGTGCCATTACGAGCTCCCGTGATTAGTCTTCTGTGAGAGGAGTCCAGTGCCATAGAGGAGAGCACCTCTTCTCCATGAGCATTTAAAATGTAAAGCCGCCTCTTTCCTGTCTCTACATCCCACAGAAAGACTGATGAGTCAGCATGTCCAGTCACCACCTGCCTCAGGGTGGGGTTGTACAAGGCACAGGAGAGGTATGGACCCTGTTTAAATTCTGTCCTGAATTCCTCATCAGTCAACCAACCACCTCCTCTTCTCTTTCCTGACAGATTGAGCACTGCCAGGTAATCTTTGCAGGCCACCACTAAATGAGGTTGCATCTCATCAGGAAGAGGAGGGCTAAGCAACAGGAAGGGGAAATTTCCATGTTCTGGGATGCGACCTGGTTGCAGACAGGGAAACTGCAGACGGAGAACTTTCAAACACTGATGGGTAGAAATGTCCCAAACTCTCAGTTCCTGGCAAAAGACGACAAATGCATCATCATTAATTCGAACATAAACAAGCTCTACCGGCATATATTCACATAAAATATACAATTATGTATGCATTTATGGTAAATCCTAATTCACTCACAGCATCTCTAGAGTAGCTGAAGATCTGCCCGACATGTTGGTAAATTGCAACATCTAGTACCGTGGTGTGGTGACCCGGCAGTGTAGCCACAGGACTTGAAGTCACATATTGTGACCACAGTCTGACTATTCGGTCAGAGCCTCCTGTAACCATCAACTGTAGGGACGCATTGTAGTCGAAACACTTGGCTCCCTGACATGAGGCAAAAGCATTAATACCGTATAGTATACAGAAGATGGTGTTTTATGCAGGTGAAAATATAAATGAAGTGGTGGTAAATGCTTCTTTCCTTTCAAAAATACATGACTGAGATGTTTGTTTTACAATGTTCAGACAGTTATTTGGAGAGTAAACCTTGGGTTTCAAAAAAACAAAACAAACAAACAAAAAAACAAAACAAAAACAAGCCATTGTGAGCAACAGAAAGCATCACCACCCAGTTTTACTCCTTTCATAGCAGCCGGTGACACTGTCTGCTTCTACTGGGTGGGACTGAACTTTATTAAACAACACATGCTGTGTTTGCTCTTCTAGATAAAACTGGCCAGTTATAACAGCATTTACTACACTGTAACACTGTCACACTAGGACATTTAATACTATATAAAACTCTTTCTCTCTTAAACAGAGTTTATTTTCACATGTCAACCTGCCCTCGTAGGTCTGTGTCACCCAGTCCCCAGTGCTGTGAAGCACAGGTCTGACTGACCTTGATCCAGATCAGAAGTGGATAACTACGAAAATCCACCTATTTTCTCTACTTTTCTTTTTCAAAAAATTTGACAGGCGGCTACAGAGATATTTCTCTCATCTGGATATTTATCTTCAATAAATAATAGCCACAACATGAGAAGTTGATTTGAAGTTGCTGAAATTGTATACAGAGAAATGCCAGCCTTTGGGGACAGTTCCTTCTTTCATCTCTAGCGTAAGTAGGACAATAATGCAAATATGTAAACTGCAAATTGCAACTTTGCTGTTCTTACTGTTCCTGCGAATGGAGACATGCAATACAATTTACTACTTGTTCTTTGTTCCAAGTTGCACAGTGAAAATTAAACAAAAATGTCACAAACAGGAAAAAGAAGCAATTCACCTTCAAAGTAAAAGTGTGCCTTTTGTTCATACTGGTAATTTAAAAGAAAACTTATAAAATATGAAATAAAGATAAAAGTTTCCCAATCACATGTTGTGGGTGTGTATTTTTATACCGGACCAAAGTGAAACTACATTAAGCTAACATTTTTTGTATGCAGACCTTTAATCACAGTTCACTTTTGCTACATCGAGCCAAACTGTATTTTGGGTGAACAATAGCCCACAACAGGCAGTGATGTTACCAGATTTTATAAATAAAACAATTCAACTAAAATGTAGAAGAGGAAGGGGAGGATACTGATTTAGACACTAATCTAGAAGTTGTTTTATAAGAACACCTTTGATTTAATTTCTTCAGGTATAATAAATGTAGCCGTTGAGGCCTGTTATTCAAAATGAAACAGGTAATGTTAATGAGCTTATCTCCTGACAAATCAATGGAGTTGACCCTGGCTTGGCTCACTCTAGCACGTAGAGGCCACATTAAAATGAAAGCTATAGCAACTGTTTTCACTGCAGATGACATATTACATGTTCAGTACTACAATAATTATGAAATATTACAAATAAATAATGCTCACAAAAGTGGTCCAACCTGGTGCTGGCAAAATGTATTTATGAAGTGGCCAATGAGTGTATTATCAGTCAAACTGACCTTGTTACCTTGTTAATTACCTGCTTAAATTTCCAAATGTAAGGCTCCTGCTTCAATGACACATTCATAAAGACCACAGATGTGGTGTTACTTTCTGACGATGTCATGATGACATTGGTGCTGGGTTCAAACATTACTCTGGTAATTGGTTCCCGGTGGATGCTGGGGATGTGTTGATAGGACACCATGTCGCTGTGTTCACCAAGATCCTGTGAGGAACGAGGGTGAAACAAGAAAAAACAGTGAGTCCAAATGATGTTTAAGGAAAAGTTGTAGTGTAAGCAGCAACTCTTCAAAGCTTCTTGCTTCCATGCTTCTATGCTTCTGTAACAGAATTCGGTAAATAGAGGAGGGAAAACCTACTTGGAAAAAGATCCTTTGTGGACCTTTGTCTCTCTTTGACGGTTTCTTAAAAAGTCCCTTGGATGAGTTCAGGAACCACATCAGGTGGACGCCTCCTTTTTCATCCCCCAGTAGCAGCAGAGGAGGCTGTTCTAGACTCTTGGAGTGAAAACCCTTTAGATTGAAGTGATGCATTTAGTGCTTTCCAAATGGAGGCATCCAGCTAAAACAGTAACATTTCACACAAACAGTTGTCCTACCTGCACATCATACCAGTAACACAGACAGGTCGGCACACTGCGAAATCCTGGGAGCAATTATAGGACAAAGAGTCAACAATATTTCCGGGCTTCATGTGGTTTAGTTGGTTTTTTAGCAATTAAGAGTACCATATAAGTGAATTTCCTCCAACAAACAGTTTGAAGAAATAGTAACAAAGCGCAAGTCCCTGCAGTCAGTTGCTATGGCAATCTTGTGGACGTTGCCCATGTACACAGCATCAGTGGTCCAACCCCTGAATCTCCTTGTGTTTGCCACTTCCTCTGTTGGGTCTCCAGCAAGCTGGTTTAAATAGAAAAACGTGAGTGAGTGTGCTGTAATTCCACGTGGATATTAAAGTAGCAACATGATGTCACTCACCCCTAAAGTTTTGAGGGTGTGTAGGCTGCTGTTCCAGGCGGTGATCTGACCCCCCTTACTGATGCTAATATAGCGGAGTGGAGGAGGATGGGAAAGAGCAACCACACGAACTGTTGGCTCCCGCTGCAGAGCAATAAGTATGAGACAAGTGTAATCAATTAGAGAAAGGTTACAGGAGGAAAAAAGTAATGGTTGTCGAAAATAACATAACTCAGGGCAGAGAAATGGAAAAATTAAGATGCTTCATCTTTCATCTATTATAGTAATGGAACACTTTATTCATTATAATTTATAGGAGCAGCTGAGTGCACTCTTTTATACTTACATTGGTTAGATTTAACAGACCCTGATGAACCCTAGAGTTATTAAAAAGGTTTGGCAAACTGCCCTGCTTAACTCCTGCAGGGTGAAATCCAAAAGTAGCGAATGATACTATAATAATATATGAGAATATCTTCACAGGCCAGGTGAAAATAATTAAAATTTGATGAGTTCCAAGGTCTGTTTAGCTTCTTTAGCCATTTAGTGCAGCCCGGTTAGCCTGTAACCATTATGGCTGAGGCAAGAAAGTCATCACAAATCATGTGTTTCACTACTGTAACCAGTCAAAATGTCTCAAAGGCTACGTTCACACTGCAGGTCTTAATGCTCAATTCCCATTTTTTGATCAAATCTGATTTTTTTGTCTGCGTGTTCACACTACAAATAAAACATGACAGCAAATGCGCTCTAGTGTGAACCCACAAATATATTTATACTGTACAAATCATTTATTAATGGTTATTCCATTTCCTCTGTATTTCTTTTTACTGGGTAGTAAAATATAAATGTTCCATTTTGTAATATACTGTTAATCTTAAAAAGTGATGACATATTGTTTTAAGTTTTATGTCCTTTTCCAAATACTAACTTGGAGTCACTGACCATTTACTCTCTATAACTGTTTTTCCTTTAGAGCTACAAAATACTCTAATCCATTTGAGTTTCTTTTCCCCAAGTTAGTTTAAGTCATATTATAATGTTGTTCATTTTAGTATTTGGATAGCAGTTTTGCTTTGAGACTGAGGTTTTTTTTTCTGCTGTACTCAGCTCTTGCCTTTGGGAGGTTTTTGAAACTTGAATTCTCAAAATGTTAATTTTGACTAGGTAGTCTCCTAATTCTGGTAAGTAATTAGAAAAAACTGTCCAAAAATCAGACCATCTGACTACGATGCACCAGAGTTACCTTGTTATGAGAGCAGTGTCTAATCTGAGGCTGGGCCTCCAGCAGAGCAGCTGTGGGATTGGACGCCCGCTGTCGCTCAGTGTACTCTAAAAGCAAGTAGGAACACAGCTGCTGCCATTTTATTTGTCCAGTGCAGCTGATATCTACCTAGACATGAAGAATGTAAGAGTCAAATCAGCAATACGCCACTGTTGTCTTTTAATAGGACAGTCACTTCAAACCAGTAATAGATTGACAGGATGCTGTTTTATAAACTTTTTTTTAAATTGTGGATTACAATATAACCCGTATCCAGTTTTGTCAAGACTTATAAAAAAAAAAAACTTTATTACTTTTTACCTCATCAAAGAATCTCTTGCACCACGTGTCCTCAATATTTGGGCCGATGACAGACTTCAGAACGTCCCAAAACTCCTCAAACGTCAATCCACGTTCTTCACTTGTACCTCTATTGCTTCCCTTCAGCTTGTGTTCCTGTGTCTCAAGTCCAGCCTTTGAACAGGTAAAAGCATTTCTCAGAAGCTGTAGGTGCTCTGGGCTCAGTTTCTCTGCAGGACTGACACCGCAGGTTGGATCACTGCAGAAAGCAGCACATCAATGATCAGTGAAACGAAAAAGCAGAAGTAGAATAAAATGTAGAGGACATTGCCAATAAGGCAGCACCCAAGCTTAACTGAGCATAAAAACATGATCATTTCTTAAGCATTAAAGAACTGTTAAGTTCAGTGTCTAACCCCCCTTTTATTTTTTTTATTTCTGATTCTTTATTGAAGCCATTACATCACTGACAGCTAGTAAAAAGCTCACCGCAGAATGAATGCAGCACTCCCATGTGGTAGTTTTGATATAACACACTTTTTTTTCAAATAAAGGGAATAAGTAATGAAAGAATATGTAAAGTTAGGGGGATGTGTTTTTAAGAAAAGCGCTCCCTGCCACCAGCAACTCCGGTGTGGGCCTGTTGCTAAGGGAAACTAACAATAAGTCACATGTCTTACCATTGTGAGGTCTTTTCCTGGTCCATTGGGGCATGCATGAGTGGTCCTTTACATCATACACATTACTTACAATCAGCAAATGGAACAATAAAATAATTAAGTAATAAAGAAGCCGTTGTCTCTGAGTTTAAACTGTGTGGAGTGGATGGAAGAAAAATTAATGGAGAAATGTGTGAATTTAAGAAGTTATTTGAAAGTTTGATACCAGTGTTCAGCTTCTATTGACTTTTCATGAATTGTTTAAGGTGGAAAAATGGACTGAAGTACAAATAATGAAAGTTAAAATGTTTTCCTACGTTTTTTTTTTTTGTTGTTGTTGTTGTTGTTGTTTTAGCTTATTAGAAAATATAGGACAGAATCAGATATAAGAATGTGTTAGCAGGCACTACTATCCAGAGGTGACAAAAATCCATATCAATGTGCAAAGTTTATAAAACAGATTTTCTACATAAAGCAATCCCTAATTAAAAATAATCTTTTATGTTTGCCAAGACCAAACAAGGGGAAAGAAACTTACCAAAACCTGCTGTGTGGCACCTCTTTCTCATAAAGTGTCCACAATTTTTTTTTGTTACTAAAAGTATCCATAGTGATAGCCCGATTCTACCTTTATCACAGTCTGAACTCTTAAACTCTTCTTTTATCTGTATTTTATGGTGAGCATGAAAAAAGAAATGAAGAAAGAAGCCAAGACTTCTGTATAAATGAGTTAAGTCGACTCCGCGATCCTGGCTGTGCCTTGAGCCTAACCATGCGCAGTCGTTGTTTCTGTCCACTCCTCTCGCTTTTCATGCAGTCCTCAAACAAAGCCTGTTGTCTTCAGACAGGGAAAGAATGTCCACATCCACAGACGCTATCGGTCGCAAATGTTTGACCACACCGACAAAAGATAGTCAACACATCTCTGAAGAGACTGCCAAGGAGACCTGAGAATTTCCAAAGTCTATTTGGGGCAACAGAGCCACAAACCCCACAGACGTGCCCTCTGTGGGTTAATCATTTAAAGAAGCAAAGTTATTCACCACCAAGAAAAGGCTGAGCTTTCTGAGCTTTATCAAGAATCTATGTATATGGGATATAGTTTCTCCGATCAAGCATAAGTAGGACTGTCCAGAAATCCTAGATATTAAATCAGGAACATCTATATTCAAAATTAAGAGAGGGTAAAAGCGAAAAGTCATGATATGGTGGCATATTTTCAGCTATTCTTACCGTTCTTCAACTGATGTAATTTAATCATTGCCAGGCAACCAGCAGCAGTTTGGTTCCTTATAATGAGCTATCAAAAGTGCTGTCTTACTATGTTTAATGAATATACTCAAGTCCCAGTGTTTCACAGTCTGCTGAGCAAGTCCTTGAACTTGATCTCCTTTTAGGCTTGCAATGTCATTTAAAACAACTGTGAGAAAAACAGGAGTCGTCCCAGGAATTATTAGAAAAATATAGTTTCAAGTTATTTAACCCCCAAAAATTATATTTACAAGAGTAATAAATGTTGAGCTCATAAAAGAGGTCAAAGAAACAAAACTGAACTCAGGCAAAGACTGCAAACTTAACGACCCAAACGACTGCTACAAACAAACATAACTGACCTAAAACATGAAATGACATACAAGGGTATATATAATGGCTGATCAGACCATTGTGACACATGAGGGGTAACAAACAAAACACAATCATAAATCACAAACGATGCAGTACAATCTAGTTTGTTAATAAACTAAACACCAAAGAATTAAATCAAAAACCCCATTAAACCCTAAACTCAAATATTTAATTAAATACAAATACTTTGTTTTTAAAGTAAAGAAAACACACATTCTCCCCTTCGGCAGGAAGTGGTGGTGTGGTCCAATTATCTTCCTTTGCATTTAATGGTTTCAAACCCTGGCTACCATCTTTTGTCCAGCAACTCCCAGGGATGATGGCAGGTAGGAAATGAAAAGGTTAAAACGTTAGTCAAAAATCAAAGAAATGAAGTAGTATGAATACATAAGTAAACTAAATGTGCGCACTTACAAATAGAACAAATGTATCCAAACCAATCAATAAAGTTATTGGTAACTAAAATGTATTACTATGTTCAAATGAAGAATGAAAATACAAAAGTTACAGACTTTAGAGTGTGGCCACGGGTTTGGCCATCACAGCAACCTTCTTCTATCCCTCTGATAAAAGAGTCAATAACAGTCAAGAAGTCAATGGAATAGAAGTGATAATGAATAAGCTCAAAAGTACTGACCCACTGAGTGTTTTATAATGCACGTAAAAAGTAAAAATAAAAAGGGACAAGTGGAAATGATAACACATATGTTCATAATTATATTATTAAGTACCCCCACTTTGGTTTTGGTGTGTCCAGAATGAATAACCTGCACAGGCAGAAACTGTTAGAGGAAACATTATGTATATGCATTATATATAATTTAAAATATGATATACTGTTAGTAGACATAATTAAAAACTACCCAGAACTACTCATCCATTGTCTCCCACTCGTCCTGTCAGGGAGACTGAAGCTTAACACATTCACACCAATTTAAGAGTCACCAATTAACCCAACCCCACTAACTGCATACCTGCATAACTACTACCTGGACGCTCCGAAACTTTCAGTTGTACGCCTTCTACCCATAAACCCCTCGGTCGATGGGGTTTATGGGTACTGTAGTTCCTTTATCTACATGGCTTAAACAACCCGACGTTTTCACACGCACACACAAGACGTAAGATTCTGAAACTAACACAAACATCGACATGGAGAATTAACTACAAACTTGTAAATAGCAATTTAGACCTCAAAAACACAAATATGGTAGTTAAAGCCATAATTTGAAAAAACGATGAACTGACCTATGAAAGCTACTCAGGTACTCACATGTTTGATCCCGATTTTTTTCCAGTTTGGTTAAAATCCATAAATGCATGAAAATTCGTGTCCAATAGACATTTCGTGACTTTTTCAGGAACTGCTGAGAGACCAGGTCGTGCATCCGGGTACTGCCACCAGATGGAGCCAGCCACGGTTGCAATGATGATCTTGGCTATAACAGCTGGATTTTTTTAAATTTAATTTAATTTTGTTTTGTTTTGAAAAAGACACTTGCCAAACGTTTTTAAAGATTTATTTTTTAAGTTATTATCAGTTTCTTTTTCAGGAATGTGAATACACTTTTGTAGCCTATGAAACAACTATTTCCCAGTGAACAGTTTTCCAGCTGCGTTTTCTCTTTTCCACTCACACCAACAGAAGGCAGCAATAGGCTGTTGCTCAGCATAATTATAGACCCGCGATCCGCCCTTGTTCCTGAATCCTGGAGCTAGACTTTGTCAGCCCTGCCCTGACAGCTTCTGTGATGGGGCTATGAGGATGTCGGTCTTGCGTGGACATTTCTTCTTTTAAACGGATTAGTTTAGTTTTCTTTTCATTTAAACTCATTTGGTGTCATGTTGCGGGTTGTAGTAGAGTCGGCTAAGGGTCTACCTAAAAAGACCCTTGGAGTTCCTGATCCAATTACCACTGTGATTTTTAGAGGTAGGTCTCTTTTCTCTACGTGTAAAAAAGTTTGGGTGTGTTCTTGTCTTCAGTAAAAAGTAAATTGTAATAGTGATTGTTGCAGGGCTTGAAGTTTGAAGGCACCTAATTTAATATTCTTTCATCTGGTTTGTGGTAGCTGAGGTACAGAGGTGCTGCTGAGCTCATCAGATGAACTGGCCAGATTACAAATGTTAAAAAACAAGTGTTTTTTTAATTAATTAATTAATTTTATCCAAGAACAATTTAATTTCCTGATGCATAGCTGGGGAGTGACTTGTTTGCATGTGTGTGATAGAGTGAAATGAGCTCGGGGAAAGAAGTGAACAGACAAGTTTGAGTCTGTACTCAAAGTTGGCTTCAGCCACAGAATTAAAATCATATATGACAGTTCTGCACAAGACAGAGCAGACACAGTACTGACTTACAGTACTGACTTACAGTACTGATCCTAGCATTGCTGTTGCTATAAAGGCACCGTGTCATTTGATTTAAAACAATAAGATGTGAATGTTACTTTTCTTAACTTTTCAATAAAAAGGGAAAGTTGCAGCATTAAGAAAAAAAATGTGTTCCCCTTTCAGATGACAAGAAGAAAACAAAATCGATTGACAAAGAGTTGAATCCGGTGTGGAATGAGGTAAATCACGCAGACAAAGAAACACTCTGCAATACTTCACTCACTTTTACCTGTTTTTATTATTTTTTAACTAGTTTAGATGAATTGCCCGGAATGCAGCAATACTTAATGCAAACTTTCCATACTGCAATTGCAGTCCCACACACTACATGGCTAACATACACACATATATGATTATTTGTAATATATATGTTGTTCCTTGATAAAATGTGCTTATTTAAGACATGACAGCAGTTTAGGTTCTGTATCTGATGGCATGCTTTTCTCACATTTGTTTGCTTGTAGTTGGTTGAATTTGATCTAAAAGGCAAGGCACTGGACTCCAGCTCCTACATCGACGTAATTGTGAAAGACTATGAAACTATTGGGAAAGATAAGTAAGTACACTGCATGCCTGGAGACTGAGATCCCCTCTCAGCTTTCTGCAACAAGTCATGAAAAGCTGTGCCTCACCTTACTGAATTACAATACAAGCTTAGTATTGTCTGAAACAGGAGCTTGTAGGAATTGAGCCCGTTTAGTCAGGTAGCAGATTAGTCAACACAGGTAGAGGTATGTGTCTCTTTTTCTTTTATGTTGCTTTTAAGAAACTGATTATTCGCTTACTGCAGAGCCATCATAGCTTGAGCTGTACATGGGCTACCTGCTATTTGAACATGTCACAGGCTGCTACTACCAGTTGCTTAGAAGCAGGATCAGAACAACATAACAGCATCAACATATTGTGCTTGTGTGTGAACAAGGACACACCAATATAAACAAAAAGAAGTTTGATAAGTTTGCTGTGTTCATAATAACTCAATATTGCAGCTATGTAGTTCGTTTTTTCCAACCCCCACAGCCTGCTACACCCTTCTTGCCATGCTGAGACTTGCAGAGCTGTGTGGGATGCCTTCTTGTGCAACAATGGATGTCTTTTTTTCCCCCGTCTTTGAGATTTGTGTAGCACAGTGTGATAGAGAACAAAGCAAATTCTCAAAGCTAATGTGGAGTTGTTGTAGTAGATGTAGTGATATGAGCTATTTTAATACCGTCTGAGTGAGATGTCTGAAAAAGCCTGAACCTGCTCCAAAAATACTCTAAAAGGTTTTCACTTCCAGCTAAAGCCAGAATCCCATATGGGACTGATTCAGACCAACCACAAGAAATGTTTCCCCAACATCACTAATTATCACAATCAAGGTCTTTTTTATGCTAAGAAAACCGATGATGCGAAAAGTTCTTGTTTCGTATGAAACATGTCAGTCCTGAGATGGATCTTCTGTGGATTTATGCATACATATGTGCTAAACTGAGTAAAAGTTTCCCTTGTGCATGGGACAGTCATAACTGAAGGAGGGGCTTTGCAAATGTGTCTCCATACAGACTAAAGTTTTCCACTGAGCTGGCCATCTGACACACTCTCTAAAGAGCTACAGAGTGGAAGCAGAGGAGGATTTGTCCTTCTCAAATAGCTTTGCAGATACTGTTATGGGTATTCCCTGTCGCTGTAGCAACAGGAGGGAGGAAAATAAGCATTCTTCCTGACTAATTTGATTTTGGGAGGAATCAGAAGATTGTGGGATAAAGTCTCCCAGTGCAAACAGCGATGCAGTCTTTAACATGAAACTGAAGAGAAAAAAAGAGTCCAAGTATCAACAGCCATCATAGTTCATACCCTGCAGACAATGAATATCTACAGCATATTTCGTTGTAACTGCGACACTGTTTTCCACAGCTTCTGGTTAATAACTTACCTTTGAACTCCATTTGAAACCTTGTGGTCTTAACTATCCTCCCTTTACCTGCTTTGCATCCATCCCTGATAGATTTCCATTTCCCCTGTTATGCAGTTGAGGCTCAAATAGAGCTGTAGGCTTTTAGAAATAACTGAATGGTTCATGACTCTACAATAAAAAAAATTAAAATGCAAGCGTATAAAATTTGACTGTGTATATTTGAAATGCAGAGATTTCCAGTTTGTCACAGTTTTTGGCTGAGGGAATTCTTTCATATCAGACGCTTAAGTAGTCTCATTTCCTGTTGGTCTGTGCAAATATTTCAAACCACTTTTCACTTGCCAGTGAAAGATATTTCTGGGCTTTTAAGCTTTTTAAGTGCACCATGGGTGATTTTCACACTCTTGGCACAAATGCATCTCAGACGAGCCGCAATATTTCAAAGCCGAGCGGTCGTGCAAAGGGAAATGAATGTTGACAGAGGGTGGGTGACAGACATTCAAGGTTATTTGTACTGTAAGTCACTCATTCCCGTTAACACATAGTTAATTATAGTGACTGAACTGATATAGGTGAGAACGTCATTGTGTCAGAGGCACCCTTGTATATTTGTATTCTTAGACATCTGACAAAGTGGAAAAAAAAAACCCTGAGTTATTACAATAATAACTCAGTATGAGTTCAGATTTTATCCTGCATGTAGGCGAGAGCAATATTTTGAACATGACATCACCAAGCCTCGACAATGGTCACAAAGTCTGCTGGTTGTTATTTGTTTAAATGGAAAGTTGGCACTCCAAGTATCATTTCCCTACTCTACACTTACACCGGGGCTCTAATGATTTTCCCAGTGCTCAGTGAGGATGCTAACACAGTTAGTATGGCACTACTTAGTATTTGAATGTTCTAAAAACAGCAGATATGCAAAGTCATGCGCATTTTGAATGACCCGTCAAACTCTCCGCTGAGTGGCCTTCATTTGTCGAGAGATTTTGGTCAGACTATGCAAGGAAAAGCTCTAACGCAGGCTCTTTCTGCTTGGAAACACTATTTGATAGAGCTTTAAATTCTGTTGTGCAATAAAATACACAAAAAGGGCTGGTTTAATATGAGGTTAAATGCCAGTTTCATGAGTCACTGAATGTCTAGGGAGTACCAGTGTCGGCCTCCTTCCTCATGTGGAATAATGACTGGATCTCCTCCCCACAATAAATTCTGTCCAAGTATTTGTACAGTGTCCTAAAGTAATCTCGACAAGTTAAGTTACTGCTCATCATATCAGCATGTCACATTCACTGCCGAGGTTTTTTGAGTACACTATTATGGTGCATGGATAGTAGTATATTTAAAGCTCTGTCACACAAGATGTTTAAATGCTGTAGCCTTTGGTGTCAGATGTAGGTCAGCAGCAAGTTTATGTTGCAGGAATTCCTCCGCCAGGAATGCTGCCAAAATAAAATGACAGTGTCCACCCAAAGAGAGACAACTTACACGGTGTTCATAACACTCCATTGGGTTAGCTGTATTCCTTTTGGACACAGTAATGCTTTCTCTGTCTGTATCAGGAGGAGAAAACATGGGTTTGAAATTCTGGCCTTTTATACGTTTAGTTGCAAGTTTTGCAATTTTAGTAGTTGCTGTCAAATTTCTTGTAATTGTGAAAGAATAAGCAAGATAAACAGGAAACAGTGTAGTTTTTGGCTGCACGCCAAGGCAGACACAGACACAATAAGCAATGAAAGGACAATGCTGAGATACACTGTGTGACACTGGTGTTTTGGGCATAGCTCATAGCTCACATAGTTTCATTTGATTTTCTTTCTTTAAATATTAAAGGACACGTCAACTGAGGAACACAATTCTGTTTTTCCCAATGAACATTAATCGGGTTAATAATTACTTGACTTTGGAGATGAAATAATTGGGTAATGCTGTAAGTAATATTACTTTTAGTAGATGTTTGATGCCTTCAAAGACGCATGATTTACCTGTTTTATTCGATCATTGCATGATACATATGGCAGTGGTGTTTTTTTTGTATTGTGTTATTTATTTATTATCATTTGGAAGTTTAAACTTTATCACTCCCACTTTTTAAAGGTTTCCCAAATAGGAAGCGTTATTTCATTTCTGTCCTCGGTGCAGAAAGTTGTTGCTGTTTAAAACAGAGGCTGGTAGTATTGAGTGAGTGGTAGCTCATAGTGTTGTGTTTGTGCATCTGAACAGGTATGGTTTGTTAGCTCTGGGTGGTGAGCTTCTCCACGGCTTTTTGTGTGAATGTAGGCCTCACTGTGCACACATGCAGCTTTTATTTTTTGTGTAATCTGTGTAATCTGATTACTGGTGAATTTGCTGACTAAAATGGTAGCACATGTTTTGCCTGATTCAATCAGGACATTGAAACAGAATGGTCACCAGGCAAAGTCCACCAAGTTGTGTGTGTGTGTGTGTGTGTGTGTTGTATGTATAGAAAAGTAGGCTGTCTGACACTGTTTGTTTTTTCCAATAGATTCCTCGGGTCTGCTAAAATCTATTTGAAAGACCTAGCTTCAGGTCAAGCGAGATCACTGCCGTGCAAAGATGTTCCCCTGGTCAGTGAAAGTGGACAGAATATTGGAGTAAGTTTTTATCCTTTGATATGAACTCAAAAATATAAGCAAAATATAATTTCATAAAAAATATATATTTTTAAAATAGAAGACTAGCCAATAATTTCCTTTCAGGCAACAATCAATCTTTTGGTCGGCTATGATGCTCCAGCAAACGTTGTACCAAACCCCAATGATCCTCCGTCAGGAGAAACTACAGTGGATGCTGGTATGTTTATGTAATTTCCAGTAATACTGCACAATAGAGCATGTGTCTACTGAGAGTATTACATTTGTTTAGAGGTGTGTCAGGTATTTGACCTGTGATCGCCCTGTCTTTGTGCTTTTTAGGAGGTGGTGGTGGCGGTGAGGAGGGCAATGAAACTCTTCCAGATGGGAGCCAAAGTGGCCCTTCAGGGACGTCCCCATCCGGTGGTCAGTCGGTTAATCTTCGTCGGGGTGTTGCCAGGGCACAGAGTCGACATCGACTTGCAAATAAACCTCAGGACTTTCAGGTCAGTTTGATTATCAATAAAGATCAATAACTGCAGAAAAAAACTTTGGATTTGCTGGTGAGGATCAGAACATGAGGATTGTGAGCTTTAAATTAAGCCCTTCATGATTGAGATGTTACTAAAATATTTATGTAGTTGGTGGTGTACAGATTTGTACAGTGCATTGATTCTATGGTCATGGTAAATGGCCTGTATTTGTATAGCGCTTTACTAGTCCCTAAGGACCCCAAAGTGCTTTACACAACCAGTCATCCACCCATTCACACACACATTCACACACTGACATTGTAGCCACAGCCACCCTGGGGCGCGCTGACAGAGGCGAGGCTGCCGGACACTGGCGCCACCGGGCCACAAGTAGGCAACGGGTGAAGTGTCTTGCCCAAGGACACAACGACCGAGACTGTCCAAGCCAGGGCTCGAACCGGTTCCGATTACAAGGCAAACTCTTGAGCCACGATTGCCCTTCATGGGAGAAGATTGTTTATAGACAAGATATATATTCCTCAGACAAAAATCTGTGAGGAATATTTTCAGCACCTTGTTAAATCTGTACCACGAAGAATTAAGGCAGGTCTGAAGTCAAAAGACTTTTTGTGTGGTGTGCCTGTAAATGTATCCTCCCTCATTCTGTCTCTCAGATTCGAGTCCGGATCATCGAGGCCCGTCAGTTGCCTGGCAACAACATCAAACCAGTAGTCAAGATTTACGTTTGTGGGCAGACCCACAGGACCAGGATTAAGAGGGGAAACAACCCCTTCTTCGATGAGGTACTGCCATTTATTTGCACAGAGTGACTACGCAAAACTCAGATATGGATAAAAATATTTTTCTTATTCTGTCAATCTCATGATAACTAATTAAAGTCGAGTCTATCCAAACATGCGACACCAGATTCTACAGAGATGTGAAATGTTTTGCTTTGTTTGAACCTTGTATGGTGTTTTTTTTCTTTTTCCTTTTTTGCAGATATTCTTCTACAATGTCCACATGTTACCGTCTGATCTGTTTGATGAGAACATTAGTTTTCGGGTTAGTATTAATAGGAAATGTTGAAGTCCTCTGTTAGCATTTATACCGCCTGCTGATGGTTGCACTCTTCTCTGCAGGTGTATAACTCCTGCTCACTGAGGGCTGACAGTCTTATGGGAGAATTCGAGGTACCCGGTCTAATCTCCTCCATACAAAATGCTGAAACATCTAAAATGACAAACAAGCCTGGCTAATCTCATCTTATTCTCTCAAACAGGTGGACGTTGGTTATGTTTATGATGAGCCAGGTAAGCTGGTTCAACTACAGATTTGAGTGTCATTTGCATCCACACAGATGGTACTTTAGTTTATTTTGTGGAGATCATAATGCAGTGGGCTGCTGTCAATGTCGCTTCCAATCTGACGCAGTGAAAAAGCTCAACATCACTCAGCATGCAGACAAAAAAAAAGAAGCTACCATCTTGTGAAAATACTGAAGTGAAATTAAACTACAGAGTATCAATTGCTCCTCACTTGGTGGAGAGACTAATGCATGGTGGAGGAGAAAATCTTAGACGAAGTGACCAGTTTAAAGGTCAAAATCAAGACCAAAAACTAGGACCAATTACAACTTTGTAGGCAAAATGTCAGTACTGTGTTACTGGTGCCAACAAGGGGCCAAAAAGCTTGTGCCAGATTTAGTAACCACTATGTTATTTAATATCTCCACATCTAAAATGCTGAAAACTAATTTTCTTTTACTGTTTCTGAGTTTTTTTCAAAGTTACAAAGTCTGAAGTGCTTTTTAACTTCTCCACACACTCTAACTTATGGTGCCCTAATAAAGTCTGTTTATCTTATGTGGTGTTTTTATGTGCGTGGTCCTTTTACAGCCCATTGTGTCTTGAGGAAGTGGCTCCTTTTGAATGACCCAGATGACTCCAGCTCTGGGGCTAAAGGCTACCTGAAAGTCAGCCTCTTTGTTGTCGGGACTGGCGATGATCCTCCGGTATGACCGATGAGCTGCAGCTCTCAGAGGACTTGGACTGCAGCTCTTTGCTTCCTCCTTCACAATGTAAAAAGGCTGCTTACACGATTCGCTTTCTCTCATGCATTCTTTCTTTGTTCTGCCTCAAACGCTGCAGGTGGAAAAGAGAGAGTCCAATGACGACCAGGATGACATAGAGAGTAATCTGCTGCTTCCAGCGGGCGTGACTCTTAGATGGGCCACGCTGTCACTGAAGGTGTTCAGAGCTGAGGACATTCCCCAGAGTAAGAGCAGATCTAGATCAGCATTCACTCTGCATTTGTACCAAACCGACTGGTCATTTAAATCATAATAAAATGAAGTTTAGTTCTCCTTGTTAACCCTATTAAACTGATGTTTTTATTGTCTTAAATAAATTAAGACTGATTCTTTCTTGCACTGTGTTAAAAACGGTTCTTTTGATTCTTAGGGCCAAAAAGACACAGCTCAAAAGTGGTCTTTTACTTTAAAAAAATGATCTTTATTTACATATCCCGGGATATGGAGACTGAGCACACACAGAAACGCCTGCTCACATCAGCCAGTCTCAAACAGAAAACAGGAAGCCAGGTTATTTATGTACCTCTCGACGTCACTTAGTCACACACAGTTTCATTACCAGTGTTGGTCAAGTCACTTGAAAAAAGTAATCAGTAACTAATTACTGATTACTTCCCCCAAAAAGTAATCCCGTTACTTTACTGATTACTTATTTTCAAAAGTAATTAATTACTTAGTTACTTAGTTACTTTTTAAAAACACGATTTACAACCTG